TTGGTGAAATCAACAATAAGTTGAATGCTGTAAACGATGAACTTACTTCCAGAATGAATAGTGGTGGCACATCGAATAGTGCGTTATATATTTTTTTGCTTCATTCGTTTTTCAAAATAAATGCTTTTCTTCGTTTTATATCCGCATGCATTAACCATTTATGGATTAAGAAGGCTAGCATACACTTTATAAGATATCTGTGGTAACTTTTAATTTCTATGTTCATTAATCAAATCAAAATTTATTATTTAGATTTTGAAAAACTATTTGAATTTTCGAATTAATTCAATTTCTTTGAAGCACCTTTTAACCAGATCTGTTCAAATGGTTAAGTAATAAAAAAACTTAGTGGAACTTAGAAGTTTGGTTTTGGCTGCATGATACACCATACATCCATGGATTTCTTCTGTGGACAAGTTCGAAGAATGACTTTCACGAGGTGCTTTCCTAGTAAAATGCGATTAGATTTCGTGTGAAATTCATCAAAATCAAGGACTTTCGCGAAAATTGCTTAATTTTAGTTGGATCATAAAAAAAGATTTATTTAAGATTTTAAAGTCTGTTGAAAAAAAGCTTTGAGGGAAATAATTTTTCTATGCTAAATCGATTTTATACTTCATTTGGTCGTATTTTTACAATCATTTTTAGATAATCTCACTTTTCAGTTATTTCATCGCTTTCTATATAATTTTTTATTAAAAACTAGCAAATTTTCTTAATATAAGAAATGAGTAATAAGAGCTTCAAATTCAGATTATAAAATTTCAAAAAATTCAAATTATTTTAAAAATTTCTCTAAATTTCGCAATGTTTTGAGATTTTTTCCAATTAAAAATTTAATTTTTCTCAAAACTGAGCTTCGGTATGGTAATAATATTTCATTAGTTAGTGGCCGTATTACTGTCTTCTGCTTCTTCTAACAGCTCCATGACTGGTTAGGCTGGCTCCAATGACTATAAGGGTAAGACGCTTCCAAGCGGCGCGGTATGATGCTATCGTCGACAGTAATAGAAGCCATTCTTTTTTCCATCGTCTAAATCCATATATTGCTGGTCCATCTATAAGTTCAAAATCTTTTCTGACCAGGTCTTTATTTCCTCTACTCGCTTTTAACGGCATACATCACATGGTTTAGCAAGTAACGGTATATGCGATAACTCTTGTGGTGGACGACGCAGAACGTGCCCTAACCATCGAAGGCGACGCTCTATAATAAAATTATTAATACAAGTGGTATTTGAACGAAGATGGATACTATCATGTGGTATTTTATCCGTTCGACGGACTCGTAAAATGTATCTTTGACAAAAGTGGTCAAAGGTAGATAGCTTCTTAATATCCTCCACTCTCATTGGCCATGTCTCAAAGCCATATATTAAGATCGAGCAAATCATAGCTATATAGATGGGGACTATCGTTTCAATGGTAATTTCACGGCTCCATAAAGGTCTCGTCAACCGGAAGAATTTCTAGCTTGCGTTATCCGAGCTATAATATCGTTTTTTGCCTGGCCATTTGGTATTAGAGTGGACACAAGATATTTAAAATTGGGCACATCCTCGACCGGCAACAAATTTACAAAAAGAGGCAGCTCGCACATAATACGAAAAGACTTTCGTTTAGTGTATATTGACCCTATTCTTGCTGCAGTTTTTGACATGTTATTTAGCATTACTTTCATTTCGTAATAACTATCAGCAAAAAGGACTACATCATCAGGGTATTCAAAATCTGTGATATGATGCTTTGGACTGATTTGGACACTCCTTGAGTGCAGTGTCCGTTACCCAGTCTATCGCATAGTTGAATATTGTAGTGGAAAGGACACAGCCTTGACGAACACCAGTTTTTATTTCGAAGGAGTTCCCATATCCATAGACCTTTGCCGACGTACGCTCATAAAATGCCTTTATGAGTCGAATGATCTTCTCTGGAACACCGTCGCATTCCATCACCTTCCAAAGCACCTCTCTATCAATTGAATCAAAGGCGCAAGTCTATAAAACACGTGACAATGGGTTGCAAATATCGAAACGATGTTCCAACACTCTTCTTAACGTGAATATCTGGTCAGCACAACTGCCCGAGTCTGAATCCAGCTTGATTAGGGTGCATCCTGCTGTCTCGTACTCTCGTACTTCTATAAATCTCTAGAGTACAAGAGAAGTATAAATTTTCTCTGAGACGTCTAGTAGGCTGATTCCTCGATAATTACCGCAGTATCTCCTATCACCTTGAGAATTGGGAGCAATATTGCTTTGCTCTAATCAAATATTTCTTTTTCCCACATCAGAGAGTACATTTGTTGAAAGTGTGTTATGAAAGACGATGGACAATGAGTTCAGCTGGAAGAACATCTTCTCCCGGAGTTTTATTGGGCCTAAGCTTATGGATAACAGATATTATATCGGAGGCTCGCAGTTGCAAGCGTATGGTTCAGCGTATCAGTTATATCAGGTGCAACAGAAGCGCTTCATGGTTAAGTTTGGTCTTTTTTCCATCTCATAAGGCGGTCCTTAATACTTTTAATCGGCACGCCACTGCTGTCCATTACCATTTCATTGATCGATCGTTCCCGAAATATAGTTGCTTTATGAAGAAGGAGGAATAATTTCCTATTATGGCCTAATCGAGTCGCTTCCATTCATGAGACCAGGTCACTCCAATAGTGATTTCTGTCCCGCCATGCTGCTTTCGTTGCAAGTCTTCGAAGCATCCAGTGGTCAGGATCAGCTGATATTCGTGCTTTGGCAGCTTTTTTAGATAGTTGGACAGTTGTTTTCAATACCCAACTAGCGCACTTCCTACTAATATGCCCTAGCGTGGAAGTGGTTGACTTTCTGAGACATTCCTTTAGTTTGGACCAGCATTCATTTGCCGTTCCAGAAAAGTCATTGATATTTGTACCACTTCACTAATTTAGTTTGCGCTCACTGTTCTCGAATTTTTTAATTTGAGATAGTTGTAGGATCTTAGGAGATGCTGTTTTTTGCGAGTTGTCAATTTTATGCGGATCTTGGCTCGAATTATAGCATGGTCAGATCCATGAAGATTGTCCGTTTCAGCCGCGATAGGAACGACTATCTAGTACGGAACTCTTCCAATGACGACTGACTAAAATATAATCGATCTGGTTGAAGTGATGGTTGTCCGGGAAGTACCACGTGACTAGATGTTTTCTATGACGCCGGAAGAAAGTATTAGTAACAAAAAGTTCATGCTCTTCGGCATAACGAAGAAGACGTTCCCCATTGGCACACCGATCTCCGATGCCATATTTGCCAATTGTTGAGGTCATCGCAGCTGCATTATGACCTACGCGAGTATTCCAGTTTATGATCATGTCATGTTTCGGTACAGACTTTGTTAGCAGTTGAAGTTCCGCGTAGAACTTATCTTTATCGCGGTCATCTGCCGATAAAGTTGGAGCATAGACACTTATGACCGAAATATTGCAGAACCTACCCTTAAAACGAACATAGGTCATACGGTCGCTTACCGGTTTCCACTCAATCAAAGCGGAATGGGCTTTGTCAGATATAACAATCGCTTCGCCATTTCTTCCCGAGTTATCCGAAGTGATATAGCAAGTACCTCTGCTCCGAGCCAAAATTAATAATCATTCGAGACCCGAAATAAGGAAGGCATCCGACAAACAAGCGTTATCCACACGATAGAAAGGGTGTGGACAATGATCGCTTGGCTTGCAACGTCCTTAAGTCCTTAAGTTCTGACTTTCCACGTTGATGCGGCTAAAACCTTGCCACGCGTGCAAAGAACTGTTCTCCTTGATAGGTTTCGAGCAATTACCCTGGCTTGCGAGCACATTTTATTTATCAGTCTTGGGATGCTTTAAACGCGGATTGTGCATTTATCGCATGTACCACCGGGTTTGAAGTATCATGCGCATCGGGAGACGCGGCCGTATTAATAAATGATTGTCGTTTCGAGTGCCGAGACTCGGACTATCGGTCTAACTGATTATTTTTTATAAGCAATACGGATGGTATGAAAGATCTGTCTGTATCGTTATATGATATGCAAAAATATGATACGCACTATTTCTCATTTTACAGTGAAATGAGCCTGACCAATAACCAACCTACTGCATGATGAGAGTAAAGCGCTATTAAAGGTCAAATTCATTGAACCATCTATTTCTTTAATTTTTTCCAATCACTATCGCGAAATCTATAGAACCGGCTAGAAATAGTGCGTGATGTAGAAAAGAAGGATTCAATTTTCAATTTATTAGTTCAGTTTTAAGTTCTTTTTATAGGCCCTAGGGCTTATCTCATTCTTAATTGTTTTATCTTTCTTCCTTGTTTTTTCTTTCCTCTTCTTCATCCTCTTTTCTGTCGAGGAATTCATCATTGTTTGAACTTAAACATCGACCATTTTCTTAAAATTTCTTTTCATCCATTGCCCTTAATTTTTTTTTGATATTTTTCAATGCTTATTTTTCAAAATTTAATCATTAATAACAGTTAATGCAAATCAAAATTCTAAATTTAGTATTATAAGTCTAATTCGCAGAAATAAAAAGATTTCTAACGTAAATTTCATAGATTTCAATAAATTTGCTTTTTATTATATTACTTTTGATTGAAATTTATTATTAAGGCATTTCTTGAAAAATTTTCCATGAATTTAATGTTGAAGGAATAAAGAAACACCGATTTTTCCAAAGAATTTCGAGGAATTTGTTTCAATTTTTTTACCTTTTTCATTTTTTATGTACTTTTAAAAACTAATAAAAAACTTAAAAATTTCACATCTCTTGTGGAAATATCGTCTAATATTTAGTGTTTGCAAAGATTATAAGTTACGTGGAGCATAAAATTTTATGTCAATCTATGATTTAGTTGAGAATAAATTGCTTTTTGCTGTGTAGCCTCAGCCATTTAATACTTTATTTATACTGCCATTTGAATGAAATGCCTTTAATGCTAAAAACTAATGGCTAACGCTATTACTGAAATTAACAAAGAATTTCAGATATGACAGGCGGTGGCCACGTCAATTTATCCACTGGTGTTAATGTCGTATCACAACAAGCTCAATATTGTGGACCATATAAATTAGAAAAAACCTTGGGAAAAGGTCAAACGGGTAGGCTTTTATCGTTTTTTTCTTGTGTTGAGTTGGTTGATCATAATCTTTTTTAAAGTGATAAAGTCGAGTTCTCTTCTTTTTTCTTTGTCCTTTATGATTTAAATGAATGACGTAAATGAGGTTTTGCCAATTTCAAATTATATATTACTTTGTTTTAAATCAAAAATCATGGATTTGAATTCTGGACTCGAGAATAGGTCTATCATTTGAAGTAAAATCTTAATGATATAGCCCACCCGCAATATTCTCTCAAATTAATATTCACCTTCGATGAAACAGATAATCAGTGGAGCAAACCAAACTAGAAATGGGGATTGCTGTTAAAATGATAAGAAAAACGATATAAATATTGATTTCTGTAGAATTTCTTTGTTAATTCTCCAGTAACATGAATTGTTTCTGTTAAGCGATACCCTAATTGGTAGAAATAAAAAATTTTTTTAATCTCTTAATTCAAACACAAATTATACCACTGGAAATTATGCTTTTATTAAAATTTTATGCTTCAATTAGAATCGCAATGTTTCTCGTTTAAAAAAAATCATAATTAGGATGTCTAATCGTTCTTTTCAATTGATTCTCAACGCTAATATCTTGAAAAGTACGAATACAAAAATTGGAGATTATATAAAAAGTAAGCATAAGCCTAAGCCTATTTATTTTATATTTTTATCCAAATTACAATTAATTATATTTACTTGGTGAAATACAATGTTGTATGATTAGATTTTATTTATCTAAAGAACTATTGCATTTGTAAGCGGAGAAATTAAAAGAAAAGCCATTTGATAAGTTAAAAATTAAAAAAATAAGTTTATGAAAATTTTATTATCCTTTTTCGTTTTTTTTTTTGAATTGATTCTCGCAGAAAATGAGATTTTGCTTTAATTTTATAAATATCAATAAAAAACAATGAATTTTCATAAACTGTGGTTATCTTCCATAATACTTGATCTTTAATTCATTAATTTATTTGTATCTAAATATATTCACTGCATTTTGCATTTGCATTTTTATTTGCATTTTTTTTTTTTGAAGAGTCGTCACCAATGCTGGTTAAACTCGCTCCACTGGCTTGTCGCAATTGAGCAATATGCCAGGGAGTCCCTTGGCGATAGAAATACAGGTGAGTCGCCGGCATCACCCGGATTTTTGTACAGGTTTACTCCTGCAGGGAATCGAACAGCATTGGCGCTCCCAATTGAGCGGCATTCCATTGAGCCATTCTATCCCCGTGCAAGAATTTGTTATTTATCTGTCCATACTATTATTTGCATGTCATCTTATTATACTATTTCCTATTTCGGTAAAAAAATCAAAAAATCAAAAGTAAAAAAAATCTTCGTGTTCAGCCAATTGATTTAAGAATTTAATCGACATTATAGCTCGTGGCGACAAATTGATTGAATAAAATTTAATCAAAATGGTTCTTGCAATGAATAAAGATGAAAAATTGGCAGCGCCAGAAATTAAAAATGAAAAAACATATCTACAACTGTACTAATCAAGAACGAAGCATAATCGACAATATCCCGAGAACCTCATGTTGCGTGGAACAATGCACTATGCTCGAAAATATACTCATCGGTATCGCAGATACTTCATATAAACAATTTGGATAGAAAATTTTTTTTCGAAAACGAAAATGCTGTTTCTAAGAGCCAAATTCACCATAAGCCAGACGTGATCAATCAATGATACATTTAACTCTAAACGGTCATATATATTTATTAAATTTGCCGAAATTATAAAATTATTATTTTTAAATCGCAGATATCCATGTATCATATATAATGTTGTATTGAAATCGAAATGAAACATATCGAGCAAAAAGGAACCATTGCATGCATCAAACACCTTCGATGGACCACGCCAATAGTTGCTGTCAGAAACATATTTTCACTAAAAGCGCTTCGTATAATAACCGTCACAATTGATGATGGTATTCTCAACATGCACTAAATGATTTAGGCCAATCACATACGAAGCGTTAGAAAAGGCGATAGCAGACTGCGATGGATGTCGAGTATTTTAGCCAAATGAATTTCGTCAAAATGACAAAGCTCTGCTTGAATTTCATAAGCATAAAAGGAATTGTATCCATCTTCGCTCAGTTACCACCTGTATTAATAATGTTATCACAGAGCGTCGCCTTCGCTGGTTAGGGCACGTTCTTCGCCGTCCATCACAGGAGTTGATATTTCGTTACTTGTAACATTGTGATGGTTGGCGCCAAAAGCGAAGAGAGCCAGTTAAGACCTGGTCTAATACAATCAGGAAAGATTTTAAATGTATAGGAGGACCAACGATATATGGAAAAAGGAATGGCTTCTATTATTACTACTAGCCATGGTGGACTGAGCAGCTTGGAGACGTCTTGCCCTTATAACCAGCGGAGCCATCCTAACCAGAAATGGTGAGAGCTGTTAGAAGAAGAAGAACTTCATAAGCGTAAAAGCAGTTGTTAACGAATGTTCGCAAAAATTCGTAATATTAGTCTCAACTAATAATCATGGTGCAGTTTTACCACAGACATCTAAGAATATCAAGAGTGAAGGTTGTTGCACGCTTTTATTGGCCATTTTTCGATAAAAATACAGAAGAATTTGAGAACGGTTGCATGAAACCATTACCACTTACGATACAGTCACTTAGAAAGGCTAGACTCGTAACATAGCCAAATCCTCAATAGCCACGGTTAAAAATTATATTCTGAACCAATAATGGGACAATATTTTCTAAATTATTAATAACTTTCTTGCTTAAAACAGAAATCAAACGGATCGTATATCAACTTCAAAAAAAATTACTTCTATGACAAACTTAGTACGGTATGGAATACCTAAAATTATCTCATATAATGCTACACTGCTCATATCGCATGCATTCTAAAGATTTATGAAAAAAAATATTATCAATTATGCTGTCTCTTATCCTCGGTTCAATGGTTTCGTCGGGATTTTTTTTATAAAAGCACTTGCCAAAATAGATGGAGAAGGAGCAATATCAGAAAAATTGAAAATTTTCATATTCTAGTACAGAATATATGGAAGCACTCCAAACATTTAGGAATATTTTTTAAAATTTTTTCTAGGAATTTTGAAATTTTTTGGTTTTTAAATAATTTTTTAATGAAGATCGAAAATAAGTCGTAACAATCTCGGTTCTTACTAAAGTTATTGCACAATTCTTAATTAATTAATAGTTAATTAGTGTTTAACATTCACCATTTGTGGTTAAACTTGCTCTCCACTGTTAACATAGGTAGCGAGATAAGCGAGTCCTCCTTATCACCCAAATTTTCTTACTCCTGCTCGGGGCAGGTAACAAATTTGTAAGTAGTTAATATAATCTATTATTTTATATATAGTTATATACATAGTTAATATAATCTATTATTTTCTAACATCTTGTTAAAGGTCTTGTTAAAACGGGAACACATTGTATAACAGGTCGAAAAGTTGCTATAAAAATTGTCAATAAAGAAAAACTCAGCGAATCAGTTCTGCAGAAGGTATTAAATCGAATTTTTTCCCACCAAGTTTTATTCAGATTCATTTGCTTCGAAAATTTCTTGAATTCTTAACAGTTTCCTTTAGAAAATGAAAAAACGAGAAAAAAGATCGAATACATTGGCGAAACTTTCTCGCATTTAATATTTTTTCTTCATCTTTGATCGTCATTAGGAAGCTTTTAAAAAATTGCTTGAAAAATTTACGAGTTATAATTTTTTTTCACTTATTATTATTTATAGGTTGAACGTGAAATCGCCATAATGAAATTAATTGAGCATCCTCATGTGTTGCATCTTTATGATGTTTACGAGAATAAAAAATATCTGTAAGTTTTTTCACATTTTCTGTACAGTAGTGCTCTAGTGATGAATGGTAAATACCGTGCAAACGAGGAAACTAATGTTGACAAAACTGAAATAAACCTTATCTATGAAGAAAACTTGTGGTTTTACGACTTTATGGACCTAGCTAATAGCGATAAAAATGGCAAGCACTTGTCATTTCGACATTTAGATGGAGACCCAATTTCGAGATTAAGGTGAAACGTCGAAACATGACGTGATATTTTTGTCGTTATTACATTGCTTTTTTTGTGCTTTTACTTTTTCAAATCAATAAATATTTAATATTGAAATATTAATTTTCATACAATTATGAAATTTGAATGTGAAATTTGAAGGATTAAAGAAATATATTAATTTATCAAATTAACAATAGCTCATTGCATATTCGCCGATAAATAAAGCATATAGAGGATGGAATATTTCATCGAGTTTTATCACATGATTTTCGAATGGTTCCAGGTATTTACTTCTCGAACATGTTAGTGGTGGTGAATTGTTCGATTATTTGGTTCGTAAAGGTCGATTGATGGCGAAAGAAGCGAGAAAATTTTTTCGTCAAATTATTTCTGCTTTAGATTTTTGCCATGCACATAACATTTGGTGAATCTTCTTTCTTCTCATTTTACTTGTATTATCATTTATACAATATAAATAATAATGAAGCATTGCTTCGATGGAGTTCAAGCATCACAGGCTCGCATCATCCATGCATCTTTATGGAAAATGGAATGCACGTTGGAATGCTGGTAACTCCAGCTACATTTCTATTCCCTCTTGCGATATTTATTTTCGAATGCAAATGGGCTAGTTGTTATAAAAGAAAAAAAGTGAAAGTTCATGAATATCAGGCATGAAATCATTTAATCATTATCAAATTTATTTTTCATTTTTATCAAAAGCTCATCATGAATTCTTAAAAGATTTGATCGCTTAGATTTGGTCATTCTTTGCTCAAAAATTTTTAACTATCTACATTTTAATGCTAAATTAAAAAGGTAAAGTAGGAAAATTGCTCTAAAATATCGCTTTTACCTAAAATGCAACATTGGTGCCAAATTCCATCGGTTGCTTAAAACACTCTAAGCGATTGCATTCCAAAATAATGCAAACATGAATTATCTATTGCTATTGGGATTATTCCAGTTAGCCATAGCTTTTCTAAATATTGAAGATAATAAGCATTAGCATATATGTAAAAATCCATATATGTGATAAAAAGTGAAAAAAATTTTAATACCAATTTTACGATTAATTGTTGCAATTTTTTAGCCATCGAGATTTAAAACCAGAAAATCTGCTGCTGGATGACAGAAATAACATCAAGGTTATTTGCTTCTTGACTAAAACTTATTAGGATTATTAGCGAAAATTCAATTTTGCATCTCATTTTCCTCAATTTAATATTTTTATTTTTTATGATTTATTATTTTCTACCATTTATTTTAAATGGCTTTAATTTATATTTGAATTTTTAGCAAAATCAGCAAATTTAGATCGTAAATATTCATTCATATTTTGTGGATTGATTTTTTTTCTAAAATTTTATGTTGTTTTTCATGTTTTCATGATTATTTCGAATTCCGAACCATAAGGTTGTGAAGCGTAGAGTTCTATGATTTTGATTATTAAATGCAAGCCTTTGGTCCACAAACTCTTTGCTTTTTGAACTCATAAAATTTATTGAGCATCACGTAAAAACTTGTACAATTATGTTTCCCTACATTTTCCCTATCATAGGAAAAATTTTTGGATACGACATTATATTATTATATCATCACTGTGATTATTGCATATACTACTATGGAAAGGGTCTCATAATCCTCCAGGAGTTTTTGTCTACATTGAGAACCATTGCCATCGTTTCATTTTAATCTTCATTTATTGCATTCATTTTCATTTATTGTAAGTAGTTCTGTTATCTTTATAACTATTATTGTGTATAAGGTTAGAGAACCAGGACAATCTAACGATAAGTGGGCCACTGGAACAGCGTTAGATGTTGAAGGACTAGCACAATCTGGATAAAAAGAGCTACTGGAACAATTTTCAAATCCTCTAGGTTTCTAGAAAATCACCAGAAGTTGAGGCGATTCATGCCACTTATTTTTTTCATCAGATGATCATGCTTTTATATTTATATTGAAGGTGGCGGATTTTGGTATGGCTTCACTTCAAGTTGAAGGCTCAATGTTGGAAACGAGTTGTGGCTCACCTCATTATGCATGCCCAGAAGTTATTCGTGTCGGTTTTTCTGTATTCTATTAATTTATTTAAAATTTATCATTTCGGTTGATATTGTGCTTAATTCCAGTGACAAAAAGTTTCACTGTGCTAGTAATAATAAAATAGCAATAATATTCTAGGGTGAAAAATATGACGGCAGAAAGGCAGATGTTTGGTCATGCGGAGTGATTTTATATGCTCTTCTTGTGGTTTGCTTTTTCTTTTCAAAATAGCCAATTTCTTTTAAGTAATATAAATTTTTATTTATTTACATAATTTTGAACAAATTTTGATTAAACCAGGGCGCTCTTCCTTTCGATGATGATAATCTGAGAAATCTATTGGAAAAAGTAAAGAAAGGAGCATTTCATGTACCGAGTTTTATTCCAGTGGATTGCCAAAATCTCTTACGAGGAATGATCGAAGTTGATCCTAATAAAAGGCTTGCTGTAAGTTTGTGTTTCAATTGAAAATTTGAAGTTTGAAAATTTCTTCATTTATTTAATCATTTCATCATTTAAAAAAAAGAGGAAAATGGAATGAAATATAAGGTAAAATTGCTAAATTCTGATTCAAAATATTACAGTGCCAAAAATTACAGTAAAATTCACTGCAAAAAATAGAATATTTTGAGAAATCTTCAGCTTGCCGATGTTTTCAAGCATCCATGGGTGGCAGGAAACTCAAAGTCGGAACCGGAATTAGAACTTCCAATGTCACAGGTCGTCCAGGTATATTTTTAAAGATCAAAACTACGATGAAAAAGATTGATGTATCCAGATTACTCCAAATATGAATAAATATATTAAGTTTTGTCCTTAAATTTAGACTAAATTTAGAAAATAAATTTAGAGATCAAATAGAGATAGGATGGCATGCTACTTATGCTAAGCTCTAGCTATCATAGGTTCTACTTCTGCTCTTTAAGGAAAGTAAACGTTACTAAAACTGAAACCAGGGTAATACTATGAAATTGTATTATTCCTAAGTGCATTTTCTACGGAGAGATATCATCATAACAATTAGTGGAGCCAGTTAAACTGAAAATGGTGAGTATTATTAAAAGGTGATGACGAAATATAAAGGTTAGGAGTAGATATCCATGATGGATAAGATCGGCGACTGAATACAATAAAGATCGGTGAGCTGAATATTATTTTTCCGATTATGTTTGAATTATTTCAGACCCATGTAATTCCAAGCGAAGAAAATATCGATCCAGATGTCTTCCGGCATATGACCAGTTTAGGTTGTTTCAAAGATAAAGAAAAACTAGTTCAAGAATTATTATCACCTCGGTACATTATTAATATAAATTGCATTCATTTTTAAACCACAAAAAATGAAGAAAATCAACTTTAATATCTGCTTATCTTTTTTATTTCTTGCGAAACAAAATTGGAAATTATATTGTCAGTGAGTTTCTTAATTTTTGCCTAATAAGAACATGAGAAAAGCAGTGCAATCGAGCGATGTGCTGATTCCACAGTCGTTATAATAGCCTTTACTCTTTTGGTAAACCTTATTAAAAAGAAATCCGAGCAGTAATCGAGTCCCATCACATCCATTCAAGTGACTATCTGGCGAAAGAATCTTATTTTAATAGTAAAGCCAGCCAAATCAGGAATGATGGGTGCTGTTAGGCGCTCTATAATTAAGGAAGCTTAATTATCTGAATGATTCGACAGTCTATTTTATTATATTCATGTCAGTTTATCAACTGTTACAATTATAATTATAATCGGTTAATGATTTCGGCCTTATGAATGATAAATTATTTATTCTCAGTTTTTTAATGATTGAATATGGAAAAAATCATATGAAGGGGATTTAATATTAATAATATTTTTGCAATATAGGCAGTATTATTGAAAAAGTTCATTAAATTTTTATTAAAACATGCAATAAATTAATAGAACTATCATATTTATTATTTTCGTTATTTTATTTTCTTATTTTCGTTTCTTCTTTCGCTAAAAAATTTATAGACATAATACGGAGAAGATGGTTTATTTTTTATTACTGGATCGTAAACGCCGAAGACCAGCAAATGAAGATGAAACTGAAGTATTTCTCCTTAAAATATTTTGTTTTTTAAGTATTTAATACGCATATAATATTTGGACAAAATTTGGACGGTTATCGACCAATTTCCAAACGTTCCTCACTGCTAGGCCTAGCAAACTATTTTTATTGTTTTCTTTAAACTTTTAAACACAACTATGTAATGCCATTTGAAGCTTTTTTTTGTTACAGCAATTATAAACTTAAAATAACTTTTAAAAACCTCATCATTTTAAAATTCCTTATTAGTTTTAAACATTTTTAATAATCTATAAATATTTTTTATAATTTATAATCTGTGTTTATTGCATTAAACAATATAGGTGTTTGTTTTTTATTTTTGTTCTCACGCTTGCTTAAATCAAAATAATTAGCAAAAGTGGTATTTTGGTGGATTATTGGATTTTCACAAAGAGATATTTGAAATCATTTCGTGAAGTTTTTTATACTTATTGTCACTTTATTTTCCATTGATTATTTATTTTGTCCGATGTTCTAAGATATTGGTGGAATATTTGTTTCGATTTATTAGAGCGTTCTTGTCTTTGTTGTCTTTTGGTTTGTATGGCTTGAGGCTTATAATAATGTGTTAATTACTCTTAAAATGCTTATGATTCGCCTTCTGATTTCTGATTTCTGCGAGATTTTAAAATATAATGAAAAAAATTTAACCTTAACTTCCTTTTAGCTGTAGATTTATATTTTTCGTTGTTTTCTTTATGTCACGTAAATGTTCTATTTATTCAACTGGCATTCGCAAATTTGCTGACGACATTCTCTATAAATGCATCTATAAATGATCTAAACGATTATTATGTTATTTATAAGGCCTCTTGAGAAAATTTTATTCTCTTTAACTATTTGTCCACAAATAAATTTCTAATTTTTAGGTGGTTGTACGAGGAACTGTGCATAATTTGGATCCACCAAGAAAACGAACAGATTCTTCGAGAACTACACGTTATGCAGTTGGTTCAATTAGTGAAGGATCACCCATTAATCCCCGAAAAACTTATGGGTATCATTTCTAATATAATGGATATTATTATATGAGCAAAAAGAAATTTTCAGTCTAATGATTTCTATAAACTGACCTATAATACTTAGCTCTTCAGACTTTTTAAAATTTTTTAAATTGTTCCTAAATGTTTATTCGTTGATATCATTGCTTAGCAGGTACAATCGAGGAAGACATAGCTCACTTAGCGGCTCACCAAACGATTCGCTTCGTGTTCGTGATGCCTTCACATTTTCGGGACCAGCTCCATATGCTCGGTCAGCAAATTCTTCAATTACTTATAAGTCGGTGGAAGATCGCGGAAGGTAATTATTTATAGTCCATTTAATAACTTCTTATTCTTAATACTAATACTAAGACTTTTAAATTTTTATTTAGGTAACTAAATTTGGAATTTTAGAGGAGCTTCAAGGAACAATAATTACCATTATTATACTCAACCTGTAGACTCAGATGCACTGGCTGCTGCAACACGAAAAGTGCGAACGGATTTTGATGAAAAAAATCATCAGGTAATTACCAATCCCAAGAGGATAATAATTAAATATTATGAGTATGACTGAGTTAAAGAAGATGCTGAGGTTGGTGCAAGTCGACAGATGTAGAGAAAATAAAGTAGAGTTTGAGGAGTTAAGGTAATTTAACGAAGAGAAATTGGTTATACCAATTTAATAGGCGCCAAAAATGTACTGATGATGTTATGGATATTCTTCCCATACTCTAATTAGCTATGTCATTCAAGTAAGCAAGTGGTCAGTATTTTTTGTAAGGCTAATTTCGCTGGAGTTAGCACGGTTAAAAATTTTGCTGGATAGCCATTTATCGCTAAAAATGCAAATGAGTCACGAGCATCACTCGAATTATTTGATGACTGGTTTGACTTTGCCAGAGAATTTGCACTTTTGCCACCACTGTATAAATCCAATCTGCTCTTCTGCTCCTTTATCATTAAAATTGAACATTTTTGCAGCAACGGACTGGTAAACAACAATCGCCTAATATAATGTATAATTCCATTCTCAATTCCTCTTCTAATGAGTCCACAACATCATCAACAAGTAATCTACTCGGAAGTACGAGTCCGTACATTTCGCTTTTCCTTAATTTAACTTTTAAAAATCTTTAACTTTTAAAAATGATTAAGCGATAAAAGTGTGCAACCTTTGAGTTCCTCTATGATTTTTATGAATTTTTTCTTCAAATAATTTGTTCACCTTGCTTTCTGAATTAATTGAAATAATATAATTTATTCAGGTAGTGCAAGCGGAATAGGAAATTTATCTGGCCCTTGGCGTTCGAAACTATCTAACATCAAAAATTCATTCCTGGGTACTCCACGATTCCATCGGCGAAAAATGGGTAGCACTGGAAACTGTGGTGAAAATGATGATGATGGCCAAATAATTGATACAACTGAGCAAGTTTCCAGCTTATTTTGACAAATATGAATGAATATAAATATAGATTATTAGATTTGGCTCTAATTTTTTTAAAGATTCGATAATCGAATTTAGAAAAACATGCCATCTAATTCTTGTTCTTCTTCATCTTCTAAAGGTGCTCGTCATTTGAAATTTTGGCTCATTAGCTAAGAGACATTGAAACATTTCGCTAAAGAATCACTTGGATTAGTTGTATACATGATTTCTCAGCAATACCCGATTTCATCAATTTTTAGTGACGAGGTTTATCACAGGAATTGAATTAAACCTATGATGATTTATCCTTAGTCGAAAAAATCCTTCACATTTCTGTTCTGTTATTAATATCGATAATTGTAGCCTCGTTAAAAAATCTTGGTTTGGCTCATTAACATCGAGTATCAGTGTTGAGAGAGATGATGTTCAGTGTGTTCCAGTTCAAGGGAAAACTTTAAATGGCATCAAAGCTGAATTAATACGCTCTTTCTTAACGGTTAGCATTTTTACTATCTTTTCCGATAAACTTTGTAATTGTATTTTTTTTTAAAAAGTCCTCATCATTACTGGTTAAACTCGCTCCACTGGCTTGTCGCATTGGACAATGTGCCAGGGAGTCCCTTGGCGATAGAAATACAGGTGATTCGCCATCATAACCCCTCTAATATAATATAATTGTGAATGTTTATCTTAATTATAACTTGAATTTCTTTAGATCCACGAGTTGAGTCATTCCGTAATTGGCCAGAATTCTTTCCGAGTTGAATATAAACGTGGTCCTACTGTTGGAGGCAGTGTCTTTTCGCGTGGAGTCAAAATGCAAGTACGGTTTTGTCCTCTTTTTGCTCATTCATCTTTCCTTTTTTGTGCTTTTAATGGCTTTGATTTTAAAAATTTATAAAATTAAGGTTGATATAGTTGTCTCACCACATGCTGCGACATCGATCGGTGAAGCGCCGATGTATGTTGTTCAGTTCACTTTGTTAGCTGGTCCTGTTCGCAGATTTAAAAGGCTTGTCAATCATCTTACTGCTATTCTTCAAAGTTCTCAGCAAAGGTGAATTCATTTTTTTGTCGGTGCGCATATTTGCCACCAAAATTCCATCACAAACATTATGCCAAAATACAACATATTAAAAAGAAAACATTGGTAATTTTCCAGGGCGGATAGAGCAGCAGCCTTAATGGTTCGACCTCGACGCTTATCAGATTCTAGTGTGAGCAGTACTTGTTCAGATAGTGATTCGACTACTGGCTGTACATTGCCTCATGTTCAAAGTCAAACGGTATTTTCATAAAGTCAATACTTGTTGAAATGCCACTTTCAAAAATTTAAAGGAACCATAGTTAAATAACTGCAAAAATGAAATAATTCTTAAATCAGTAAAGCTTTAATAAATTAGGCTTCAGATCAAATCAAATCGTGGAAGTCATTTTAAAATGACATTTCATATGGGATTTAATAAAATTTATCGTTTTATGTGCATTGAATTCTTCAATTTTAGGAGCGAGTAGAATCAAGCACTGTAATAGACACACATTCTATACGTTCTACCGGTGATGTTCAGCATATTCCACAAACAAGCGGGGAATCGTTACAAAGACCATCGATGAATAAAACATTAGCAGGTGCTCCTGTTTCTTTTTCTATCACCTTTTTTTTCTAACATATGTTTCGCTGTTTACTTTATTCTATTATATCCTAATGATTTCGATCGCTAATTAAATTGGCCTTTTATCAATTCGATCTATGAAATCTTTCTGATTGAAATTACATTAAATTTACAGGGTTTTCTCGTTATAATTTTATTTTAATGAAAATAGTATGGCTTATACCGCTTCAAGTTTTTGATGTAGCAGCAAATCATTGTATCATTTTCCATTACCATTTTGCCTAAAAACTTTTATATCAGAGGTTCAGTGGGTCATTAAGTACCATTTATGCTACCTATTTTTCGTATCAATTATAATGAATCAATGAAATATTTAGGTTATTTCAAATCACCGATGCCTCAACGAAAAAACACAGGAGGTGCATCATTTACATCTGATACGACTCGTTTAATTTCTTCCGCATCAAACAGTCGTAAAAATTCAACAAACAGCGAAAATAGTCTTTCCACTCAGAGTATGACTGTAAGCAACAATACCGAAGGCTATTCACCTCTTAGGTGAGATAAAAGGTGCTGAAATTAAAATCTTAGGCATTTCAAGACAAATAAGTTACTTATTTGGAAACTGATTATATTTATCAACCCTAAATTTTTGTAAATTTTATAATGAAATGTGTGTCGACTGAATCAATCAAATTTAGTTTTCAGAACTTTGAAAAAGGTAATATTTTTGTTCCTCTTCGTCCTAGAAATATTAGAACTATTTTACACCTTCTTCATTTTCTTCCAGCGGCTCACACCATTACTGGTTGTAAGGATGAGCTGTTCCAGTCCTCTCGATCTGATCCTATGTCTGGAGGTAGTTGAAGCTCTTTTTTGATATGTCCAAGCCCATGTATTGCTGAGTCGCCTATACTATGAAAGTCTATCTTAACCGTATTAATCCAGGTTTTTATTGGTTCTCGCTTTTCACACCATTCATCAAAAGATTTAGCGCTATTTGCTAAACATTTTTTATTTTCTATATGCAGTTGGCCATCTGTAGCTTAATTGAATGAAGATTCTTATTTCAATAGATTTGTGCCATAGAATGCAAACATAAATTGGCAAATTTCAGTGTTCACTATATCCATAGTCGATCTCAACCAGTGACTACAAGAATCACTCAAATTTGAAATATTAACAACTGAGCAAAATTATGTTATAATGTTCTTGTTCATATTATTTCAGCTCTCAGATCGTCAAATTTTGTAACTTTGGTGAAATATTTTTCTACTTATTTTCATTTTTTTTAGCTTTTTTTCTATTGTTCTATTATTGTTTTTTATAATTTGATTTGTTAATTTCTCTTTTTCTTGGACAAGCATATGAATTGTTTTTAATTTAATTGGTCCTCATTTAAAAATTCTTACGTTTTTTTCTAATTTCTTTTTCGTAAAATTTCGTAAAATTTAAGGTTGAAATGAAAATTCGTCGCCGGTGATACATTATTTGCTTTAAAAAAAAAGTTTTAGCTAGTGATTTGTGATAATAATTGGTATTTCATGGTGTTTTTAAATTCTTGCATATGATATAACATTTTTTATCATTTAGGTTACTTTTCTTTTCTTTTTAAAGAAATAGAGACTTGTCTTTTAAAAAATCTCTATTTCACAATTATAAAAGCTTTTCTGATCATAATTTTTGGTGATTTGTTTAATGCTCGACTGTTTATTTTATATCTTGGTTTCCAATCTGATCATGAAAAATGGCTGTTTCCGATTGCGGACCAAAAAAAGTCGGATGTAAATGGCTTTTCAAAAGATTCTGCTTTCAGTTTAATCAAGGTTTTCCGACTTTTCCATTTTTTTCGCCAACTTTGCTCATTTCGACAAATTTTTTTTTTAAATAATATTTTTAATATTTTGTAGGTCAATGAGAATATGGATCTTATTTAATATTATTTTTATTTCAAATCTTTATTATTTTTTCATTTTTTAAATCTTAGAGTAGCAAATTTCTTCTTTATATAGTTTTTCAAAAATGGTTTAAATGGTTTAATCTGTGATATTTTAAAATGAAATAGGAAATAGCATTCAATTTTTTGCAGAACAGAGTAATTTGAAACTATTGTAAAAAGTCGTGGGTAGTTTGTTTTACAAAGGTTTTTTAAATGATAGGGCACTTTGAATGGACCTTTTTTTAAATCAATGTTTCCATATTTGCCTGTTAAATCAATTGTTATGGTAATTATCGATGTGTTAATCATTGCGATATCATAATATTATAAAAATTCAAAATAACTAATAGGCTTAAATATCTCTCAACCATTTAAGTAATTCTTTTCTATTTGTGATCATCGTTATCTTCGTTTCAGTTTCAATATATATATCCAAGATATATCCAAGAAATTATTCGTTATTGCTGTCTAAGTTTTGGTTTTAAATTGGAACTTTGATGCTTAAAAAAGTAAAAATACGGCTGATGCCGTTGATTCATTTGTCATAAAGTGAACTTCTGGAAAAATCTTTCTGGTATGACAAACCAAGAGTCTAACGAGAAATGATTAGAGTTCTAGAAGAAAAAATCATGCAGTAGTGAAAAAAGAATGATTTCCTGCGAATAGATTTTCTAAAATTTTTAAATTAGAAATTGACTGAAAAAGAAAAGCAAAACAATGTAAAAAGTACAACCTTCATTATTTTATTCATTTTGCTTATTATTATTTATTATTTCGAGTGGTTGCATGTGGTCATTTTCAGTTCTGCATTATTTTCGATTTTTTAAATTTTTTCCTTTCGTTAACACATTTTAGGGTTTTTGTCCTTGAAAACATTGCATTCGACCTTACAAAGCAAAAGTAAATCTTTTTCAACTCAGCAGGTTTCTTTGATATATTTTTTTCTTTTAATTTTTTTGATCTTCAATGGATTAATTTAAATGAATTTTAATTTTGCCGAAAGTAGATTTTGAAATAAATTTTCTCAACGATGCATGCAATTAATGTCGACTTTATATTTCTCAATCCACATGCATTTCTCAGAGCAGTTTTATAACATTAACGAACTAAGTATTATGTATAGAAATAATGGGCCAGAATTTCCAAAAATATTTGATAATTGTCATCAAGCTCATTGAAAAAGCGATTTATCTAAATAATGAATATTAGAATTTCTACCTGGAAATTTTTTAGATTACTAAGTTAAATAAATTCAATTTGAACTGATTTAAATGTATTCTTGGGCTTCTACATAATAAATAAAATTTTGATGATAATTTAGTCTAAATATCTCTTATTTGTCCAAATAAGTACAGTATTAGTGAAACAATTAGACTTAATTGTTTCGAGAAATGATTTTCTCTTTCATTGGCACTAGTAAAACCATTTTAAAAAAATATCAGATGTTGCCTGTAGATTTTTTTTCTTTGCGTGAAATTTTTACGACATATTTCTATGAATTTTTAGGAATTGTTCTTCGAGAAATTTCAGAGTATCTCAAGAAAACATATTTATTGTATTTATGATTGGAGAAAAGTTATTGCTTTCTCTTTTTCTCTTTCTCTTTCCTATAGAAATTTACTAATATTCATATTCAGCGGTTGTTGCAATAATAAAAATGATCACAATAAACATTACTTACAAATCAAAATTGTGCTAAAAATACTTAAAAAGAAGAATCATTCAAACCTCTTATTGCTATAAAAAACTGGAAAAAATTGAAGTAAATAACCATCAAAGAAAATCTTTCCCGGATAACATTCGTTCCTGGAACTTCAGAACAGTTTATGCCTCCATATACTTTGGTTCATTTATTGACTTAATATTAATTCATATAATCTGATCATTTCTGAAAATTGATAAAAATATGTCAAAGACATGTCTGAGATATTGCTTATCAAGCAATTTTGATGAAATAATTTTTAAAAAATCTGAGGAAAAAGTAATTAAATAAAAATTTCTTCAAAATTACGAAGTTAAAATGCAAAAACTATCATTTTTCTGTGATGACGGATGTAAAATACCGCAAATTTTGGATGTGCCCAAGAACAAATTTTCTCATTCTATCTTCATCTTTTGTCTACTATAATATATCATACATATTATCCTAATTTTCTATCTTTTCTTGATTTTCTAAAAACTTAGAGCTCTCTTATAACTGGAAATCTTAAAATAACCAATATTAAAAACTTTAAAAATTCCACAAAATTATTGGATAAATCAAACCCATAATGAAACGTGCAAAAAAAATTTCTTTTTTCTAAAAAAGTTCAAAACTCACGAAATTTAAGCATTAAAATATTTAAAGAAAAATATAAAAGTAGATGGAAAAAAAGTAAATTTTTGGCAAAATTTTTTGTTGTTTTGTTTTTTGTTACAAGCTTTTTTAAATTTTCATAGATTGTTTGCTAAATAGCAGTCTCACTTTACAACATTTAATTCATTTTTCAATCAGAAAGGGATAAATTCCATTTCATTTCCCCATGAGCTTTCATGGATAGAAAGAAACTATCATAAAAATTCAAGGAACTTTTTCCTGTTCTTGTTGTTTTATGCAAAATTTACTTCTCAAGTTTTTGCTTTATCACTCTGCCCTTTCGATCATTTGGAAAGAAATTCCTATAAGTAAAATTATATAATTATATAAAATTATAAAATTATATAAATAACTAATTAAAATTCATTCGATTTTTTGAATTAAAGCGAA